CCAGTGATTCCCCACAGGCACCCAACGATTGCTGAGTATTACTGATAGGGGAGAGGCCTGTATGTAAACAATACAGATCTCTCCCCTGTCAGCTCCAGCACCCTGCTTTCATGCCTCTGCATAGCAGAGCCATACAAAGAAGCGTGCTCACACAGTAAAGCACAGCACAAAATGTAAAGCAGCACACAGCAATCCTTTGATTAGCCCATATGTTATCCCCTTCCTGCCCAGTGCCATTGGTACAGTGTCAGTGCTTTTTGTTAGCACTGTTCACTGTATTGGTGTCACTGGGGATGTCCGTAACAGTTAATCAGTTCCCCCCCACTGTCAGAATACTCACCGCAGTCTCGCTATATAAGTCGCTAATCGCCGCCATTACTAGTATAAGAAAAATAAAATCCCAGTATATGTACCGCCATTTGTAGATGCTATAACTTTCACATAAATCAATCAATTTACACGTAGTGGGACTTTTTTTAGCAAACAAATGTAGCTGAATACATTTTGGCCTAAATTTATCATGAAATTATGATTAATATTATGATTTTTTAATTTTTTTTACTGGATATGTTTTATAGCAAAAAGTAAAAAATATTGGGGGTGTTTTTCTGAGTGCCCTGCTCAATAGAGCTTACAACTGAGGAGAGAAAATAAAAGAATAGAATAAAATAGAAAAGAAAAGAATATAATGGAATGGAAAAAAATAGAGAAAATGAATATAGCCATCTTCCAAAATTGTAATTTCAAAATTCGAATTTCGAATAGAATAGAATAAAACAGAAAGAATATAGCCGTCTTCCGAAATTCAAATTTCAAAAAGAATAGAATAAAAGAGAATAAATGGAAAATAAAAGAATGGAATAGAATTGAAAGAATATTGCCGTCTTTCGAAATTCGAATTTCGCAAAGAATAGGCTAGAAAACAAAAGAATAGGATAGAAAAGAACAGAAAAGAAAAATAATAGAATAGAAAAGAACAGAAAAGAAAAAAAAAAGAATACTGTATAGCATTCTTCTGAAATTCAAATTTCATAATTAAAATTTTGAATAGAACCAGCTGTTCTTCACAATGAATTTGGATCGATTCAATATTTTCAATTCAAATTGATTCAATTTTTTGGAATCCATTGGAAAATTTCAATTCCGGTCAAAAACGAATAAACAAAACAAATGACCTCAACTGGCATTCCTCCACACTCAGTAAGTTCTGGGGAAAAGCTCCTTGCAGAACTTCTCTTGCAAAGTAAACAGCCTATTTGCCTTCAGTAAATCAGCCACTTTGTGATTACACAGGCAAACTGCTAATACCCTACCAGGGGTGGACTGACAACTTATGGGGCCCCCGGGCAATAGGAGATCATGGGGCCCCTGTGTCCTTGCCCAAACTCAAAAAAACCTATGAAAAAGGTACCAGGGGCATCTCATGGGGCCTCCTACTGGCCCCGGGCCCAAATGGTCAGTCCGCCCCTGTACCCTACCCATCTATGCATGGTGTTACCAGGCAGAGATGAGTAAAGCAAGCCATAGATTGTGCAATTTTCTTTCCTTTAATCCAGGGTTGAAGGAAAGAAAATCGCTTTGTTCCCCATCAACACAGTCATAATTCATTCCCTCCCGCTGTGCTATTAAATTCTGACAGCAGGAGGTTGCCCCACCGTCAGAATACAATGATCACTACTGGCGACTATAGCCACCCACGGTGATCGCACAAGAAAAACCTGACAGGCTGCTTGAACTGAAGTCCATCGATAGATTGACTTCAGTAAAACCAGTTCTGCCCATAGATGGACCAAAGTTTAGCCGGTCTTTGCTGAACTAGCTGGATTTCCACCCATCTATGGCCCAACTAAATCGACAAATTGTGTATTTACTGTATAGTTTGCTAGGCGTTCAAACCAGCAAATTATCAAGACGAGGACAGCAGGAAGCTTGCATTTGCCCGGAGCTATACAGAGACTTTGAGAGATCTGGATTTATTTTCTCTAAGATGACACCCCATACATACAACAGTGGGAGTGGGATCTCAGCATTATGTTAGATCAGGGTTTCTCAACCAGGGTTCCTCTGGAGGTTGCTAGGGGATCCTTGAGCAATGAGCAATATCTGCCTCTCAGATAGGTTCCCGCTGACACCATGGATATTTTTAGCTATCTATAAGGGGATAATTCTTCTCAATGACCACAAGTGTAAAGAACATTCTTCCCACTGACCATCACACAAATGTGTCATGAGCTGTAGATAAAGAATTTTTTAGCAGGGGTTCCCCAAGACCAAAAAAGTCATTTCAAGGGTTCCTCTGTGTTGAAAAGGTTGAGAAAGACTGTGTTAGATGATGGATTGGTAGGACATAGCTAATGACTTATCCAATGTGTCTGTAACACTACCCCTTTAGGAGTCATTGAAGTTTTGGGTGCCCCTATAGTCCTGCACATCCAGGCAACAAGCATTTTCCATTCAGACTTGCATCCAGGAAACAGTAACCAGTCCTTGAGCTTGTTTTTTTGGATTTCATTAGGGGAATTTAAACTGGGATGGGGTAAGGGATTTATGGAATGCCCAAGGGAATGACAACGGATAAAAATTCCCTTGAAACTATGTACAAGTCTCTTTAGACAGAAAAAAAATTATCTTCTGGAGAGCTAGCCAGCATCTCCTGTTGTACCACCCCAGACACTCATCTATCCAGCTGCTCTGGGTAAATCCCTGGGGTCCAGTGCCTGTCGCTTTAAAAGATAAGACAGTCCCTGGTAGCAAGCTAATCCAGGTTCCCACTAGACTAGAGTGCTCCTTCCCCTCTCTAGCCCAGGAGGTGAAGGTCTACTCACTCAGTCCTCTGTCTGTGAGCTGATGGGTCAGTGGCTACTCTCAGTCCTTTTGCTGGACCTGCTCCTTCCCTGCTACACAGATGGTCCTCACTCTGGGGGCCGATAAGGTTCTAAAGTTACTATATGCAGGTGAGCTCCTTCCTATCTAAGCCCCCTCCCAGGCTCCTGCTCTTTAGCCTCTCACTTCATCTTCCACCTGAACTCTCCTGTTGCTGAGCAGGCTCAGTCACTCTTTAGAGCTGTCCTGGCCCCAAGCCAAGCTTCCTGTTGGGGATTGGCCAGCATCCCTTGAGAGTGCAGGCCAGCCACTCCTCACTCCCTCCCACTGCTTCTAGAATTTTCTCGAAAACTATAGATCAGGGGGAAGTCCCAAAGAGCTGGTCTGCGGACCCTCTCAGCTTTGACCTGAATTTGACCAGCCTCTGACTAATACCACAGGTTGGTACTCAGTCTCTGACTAACAGTTTATAATCTAGCTCCCCCTAGCTATCTAGGAGGGTACTACATGTCTATCAACACGACCCTAGTAGAGTCTAACTATAAAACATTGTTAAGTTGGTATTTTGTCCCTACTAAGGTAGCCAAAATACACCTGCAAGCATCTTCTGATTGTTTCAGATGCTGCGATCACATAGAAATTATGTTTCATATATGGTGGCGGTGTCCCAAAGTAACCAGATTCTGAATCAGACTTTTCAATTTTATTTCGGTCGGTAACAGGAGTAAACATCCCCATATCACCTGAAATTGCTCTCTTTCAAATACTGGATAACACAACCCCTAAAAAGGCTAAAGGACAAATGTCTTTCTTAATCTTAGCAGCTAAAATTGCCATTGTGAGATGCTGGAAAAACCACAGGCGGGGAAACCAAAAAGAAAAGGTTCGGGGCTGCTCTGTGCAAAACCAATACACAGAGCAGAGAAGTATAACATGTTTTTTTTAATTACTACCATTAAAATCACTTTACATTTGCATCTTTTTTTTTATTTTACTTGTTCATGCTTGTTATATTCTTATACCAAAGGTTCCTGTAAGATCGTAATGATCCTCCGTTCGGGAGTTTTTACTTTCTAAAATTTGAATATAAAGATTGAAATAAAAAAAGGGCACTACAAATTTTAAGCATAGTGGGCCACTTTGCAAGAACCTAAAGCCGGCCATACATGGATTGCAATTTAGCTGGTCCAGCAGGGACTGGCAAAATTTCAATCCATGTATGAGCACAGTGGTTGTACAGAAGTCAATCTACCATTCATAAACCGCTGTATATTCAGTGGTTTGTTATATTCTAACTGCAAAAGGAAAATTTTAATAAAGCTTGTGTCCTAAAGGTCTATAACAACTGTCAGCTCTTCCATTTCTATAATAGTTTTGAGCTCCCTAGATAACAGCAGAAATACATCTATCCTTTCATGCAGGGAATTGAATCTGCACACAATCTTGAATAAGGTAGAATAGATGTCCCCAACCACTTCCCATTACCTGCTAGGCCACCCCCACCATCTAACATAATGTAGTGCCCACCCCCATAAGGGTCTCTGAATTTGATGGGCCCCCCAAAGCTCTGCACGGCTAGGCAACACGCATTTTCCACATCTTCACACAGAGTCAGTAAAGCAGTCCTTGAGCTTGGTTTTGTTGTTTTTATTAGGGGTTAAAAACTTGGATGGGGTCTAGGGGTATATGGGAGGCCCAAGGTGTCACAATCCTGCACACAGGGAGAAGTGCGGTTCTCCATTTTACCCCAAACTTCGGCATTTTGGTATTTCTCTTAACCACCTGCCGATTGCAGATAGCTGAATGACGGCTACACTGTGGCCGGCCAGTTCTGGGTGGGCGTCATATGATGTCCTCCCAGAACGCGCTCTCCTGTGCACCCCTGGGGGCGCACCCGGCGATCTCCGTGATCGTTGTGTCCTACGGATACAGCTGATCAGGTGATGTGGTAAAAGGCCAATCACAGCGGCCTTTTACCACGTGATCAGCCGTGTCCAATGACACGCTGATCACCGGGAAATGCAATTGCCGGTTCTCGGCTGCACTTTCCTTATGCTGTCAGAGTGTGTCGAAAGAACTGCCAAGAACCAGCAGTTGTCAGAGCAGGGATCGGCACCGATCATCAGGGCACTGATGATCAGTGCCCTGATGATTGGTGGTGCCACCCACCAGCAGTGCCCAGCAGTGCGCCCACCTGTGCCCAGCAGTGCACTCTCCTGTGCCACCCAGCAGTGCCACACACCTGTGCTCAGAAGTGCCACCCACATGTGCCCACCAGTGCCACCCACCTGTGCCCACCAGTGCCACCCACCAGTGCCCATCAGTGCAGCCCAGCAATGCTGCCAGTCAGTGCCACCAGTCAGTGCCCAGTGGTTGGGCCAGTCAGTTCCCAGCAGTTGTGCCAGTCAATGCCTAGTATTTCCGCCAGTCAGTGCCAAGCAGTAATGCCAGTCAGTGCCACCTCTCAGTGCTGTCTATCAGTGCCACCTATCAGTGCCGCCTATCCGTGATACCTCATTAGTGCTGCCTATCAGTGCCGCCTATCTGTGCCACCTCATTAGTGCTGCCTATCAGTGCTTATCTTATGAAGTATGCTTAGTATCCCAAGTATAAAAAAATACAAATAAACCCCCTAAAGCAAAATAATGACAATCAAATACAGTGTACCCTTCCCTTATTAACAAACTTCCCCAAAACGCATATAGACTTAAACTCCAAAAAGATGATTAAGTCTAATTGACAAAATATGTCAAAGGGAAGTGACGTCAGACGCACAGCTGAACCGGCAGTGATCAAGCGTCCATTTTGGATCCTGGAAATCTCTATCTGAGACACAGGAGAGGATCTGCTGAGGGTTTCCGGAGGTCTGGCTGGGCTGATTTCTTGTTTGATGGCAATTTTAAAGATGAAGATATATGTAAGCACATAAATAAAGTATATTCTGTTTAAGTTTTTATGGAATTACGCTATTGTGGTTTCATTTATGGTGGGCATCGTTTGGAGACTGATGTGGAGAGGAGTATAATACTGCAGCTGTGAAGATCCCTCTGGAGGAACTTTTTATTATATATCAGTACCCTCCCTGGAGGATTACTAAACTGGGGTTTATAATTTTTTGTTTTTTTTGGTTTCAGAAATCACTTTGGAGGCTGTCTTCACTTGGAGGTTGATTTTGAGATTTTGAATGACTTTGATATTTTGAAGGACTATTTTATTATTGTGGGACTTGTGTGGTTTTTTGTTTTTGTTCAGAGCACTTATTATATTTGTATTTATACTTGGGATACTAAGCATACTTCATAAGATTATCACACTTTTTGGGGTTTAAGTCTATATGCGTTTTGGGGAAGTTTGTTAATAAGGGAAGGGTACACTGTATTTGATTGTCATTATTTTGCACTAGGGGGGGGGGTTTATTTGTATCTATATACTTGGGATACTAAGCATACGTCATAAGATTATCACACTTTTTGGGGTTTAAAGTGTTTATATGCGTTTTGGGGAAGTTTGTGAAGAAGGGAAGAAAACACTGTATTTAATTGCCTATCAGTGCTGCCTATCAGTGCCCATCAGTGCTGCCTATCAGTGCCCATCAGTGCCTACTAGTGCCCATCAGTGCTGCCTCATCAACGCACATCAGTGAAGGAGAAAAATGACCTGTTTGAAAAATTTTATAATAGAAACAAAGAAACTTTTTTTGTTCAAAATTTTTGCAAGTTTTTTGTTTATAGCGCAAAAACTAAAGTGCTCAGCAGCGATTAAATACCACCAAAAGAAAGCTCTATTTGTGAGAAAAAAATGATAAAAATTTCATATGGATACAATGTTGCATGACCGCGCAATTGTCATTCAAAGTGCGACAGCGCTGAAAGCTGAAAATTGGCCTGGTAAAGAAGGGGGTATAAGTGCCCGGTAGGCAAGTGGTTAAACTCCTATGCAAACACCTGAGGGGGGAGGGGTGCACACAGAGCCAGGCACAGGTTCACTGTATTGAGAAGGCTTCATGTATCTCCTCATTCCCCTCCCTCAGGAATGCAAGCAGCATATGATGCTGAGCCCTGCCTAACAATTCATCTGCCAAGTAAGGTAGGGAAGAGATTTTGTGTAGGAAAAAGAAGCAGTTAGTTCTTGTGAGGAGTCAGAGAAGTGAGAAAAGTAGACGGTCGGCTCTGTACCATCTAGCTGACCAAGAGTCTTGTTGGACCATCGCAACTAAGTGCAAGACCAGAAATCCCTTCTTTAGCTCATCAGACTGGAGACTGCTTAACCCCAGGCATTTATTTGGCAAGTACTTATTTACCTAAATTTCTTTCTGTTATCTGTTTGATGTGCTTTGTATATTTATATATATATATATATATATATATATATATATGTTACATCTTCTTTCTGTAAATATTCGTACTGCACCCTTTTAACCTTTTGGTAATAAATCTTACTTTCTGAAAGTGTTGAATTGTTTCTATAGCTCTTAATTGCAATTTACAAATCCCTGCCTCTAAAAAGAATGCTACTATGAGTGTTTAACCCTCTGTATAACCGGTCTGTAGAGATAGCGGTATACTGTCGATTAACCAATCATCCTAGTGTATTGCTGAGTTTCCTCTTTCTCTGTATAAAAAGGAGGTGGTGGCAGTGTGAAGGGTTAATTGCGTAATTAACCTGACCGAGTAACAAGCGCATTCAGGGTGCAGCTGGGTGTGGCATTGTTACGCACGTGACAGCACGGTTTTAGATTGACTAGTCCTTCGGTCACAAGTTTGGTGAGAAGGGCTGGGATCTGATTCTGCGCCCGTCACACAAGGTACTGCAAACTTTAGGACAAACTTCTCATCAAACTGTACAAAAGTGTGGACTAAAAAGGTAACAACTTTCTCTTTAAGGAGCACTGTGTCCCCTTTGGTGTACCTCCTCAGACCCCAGATGAATACTTCCTACTGTCTTGAGGGTATATCTGGCAATGGATTCCAATATCTACCATGGAGTAGTCCCAGATGAGAACTAGTTGGGTATTGCACCTGACTGCCCTCTCCCTTCCCTGGCCCAGGGAGTGTAGTACTCACACTGTCCTGTCCTGTAGCTTGGTGGTTTGTGGCTGCTTTCAGGCCTTACACTGGGCTGACTACTTTCCTTCTGACAGGAAGTCCTTCCTATGAGACTTGTGGCACAGTGAAGATCCTTCCATCCAGCACCAGCCCCTAGGTAGCACCCCTCTCTGGGGCCCCCTCCCAGGCTCCATACTCCAGCACCTTCTCTCAGTCCATCTTCCACCTGACTCTTGTACTGCCCCTTGCTGCACAGACTCTCTCACATTTTAAGGTAGCTCTTAGCAGCTCCTGTCTGGGGATTGGCCAAGTCCCCTTAAACATACATATCTGGGCCTCCTCCCCTCCTCCACGCCTCATCCAGAAAGTTCCAGCAGTTTCTGGAAGGGTGGGAGGGCTCCAGAAGCCTCATTCTGTAGGGTCTCTAAGCCTATCCTGAGGTGATCTCTCTACCTCACTCCCAGGCTGACTCATCCCAGACTTCTAACAAGTCTCTGACTCACAAAAATTCTATCTAGCTAAACTAGAAGGTGCTACAATAACATACCACAAATTACCGAGCCACACAACAAAATTTAAATAAATTGGCCATACCAGCCTAAATTGTGAGCTCTCTGTTTCCTCTTGTACCAAATTCTATTGTAACTGTAATGTCTACCTTAATTTTGTAAAGCGCTGCACAAACTGCTGGCGCTATATAAATCCTGTATAATATATATAATATAATAATTAACAAATAGCAAGAGTACCAAAGCATTTTTTTAATACAGAAACAGGTTGCAGATCTTTGAAGGCACTAAGCACGTTTCCTGTTTCTGTGTCTGTGGAACCACTTAAATGTAATAGGCCTCCAGCTGCAACTTACCTTTGACTGCAATGCGATCAAGGATGCCATATCAAAAATTGGTTCCCAGTCATTACACTGGAACCATTTTTACCACCTTCATGGACCCTAAATCAATGGTGGCTTTGTCTTCCGAAATATGAATAATACTGAATCCAAGGTGGCTGAGATGTTCCTTCTCAATCTGTCAACTGCCAACTAGGTTTGCAGCTTTCACCCTCTTCATGTCCTCTCCAAATCCCCTCATGAACTTGCACCTTAGCCTATCAGGTAAGTGAGATCACCTCCCATAACCCAAAGCTTAACCCTTTCCAACTTTGTTTCCCTTCTTTACCTAGCCATGTGTGCACTTCCCTTATTTACAGTATTTTTTTATGCTACAAGTCCATCTATCAGTTTGGTTAATAACCAGTAATATCACTGATGCTCTGCTGAGAAATACGCAAAAGATGCATGTTATTCATACTATCTCATGCATATTTTAAACAAATATTGTCTTAAATCACTTCAAACTACAATATTCTAGGAAACAACATAGGGTCTCATTTATATGTCTACTAAAATAATTGGCTGTGTTGCCCCAAAGCTATTAATAAGGTTCACTGAAGAATGAAAATGGGAATCTTTTGGGTTGTTATGGGGTTTTATAGACAATTTAGACATAAAATATCTCTTTATTGTCACACGGAAACAAATAAAACATCACATATTTCCAAAATATGGGGCAAATGCATGACAACTTGACTGAAGTTACAACCTGACTACGTATTGGTCCTATTTATTAAAATGTAACTGTTGAAATGAATGTACATGCAGCTGCCTCTATTGCTCTTGGGTATACTGTAACAGACAGGAGAATGAGACGAATCCTACAGGAGGACAGGACTGGAAATGTCAGGCCACTTGTTGCTGCAATTTCCCCCGCTCTGCGCATTCTCTGGGGACCCTCGATGTTTGTGATGGAAAGAGTACCAGTGTGTAACTCCCATAAAACTTTCCAACCTTCCCGTAAAAAAAAAAAAAGCTTTTCTGAAATGTAATGTAATGTACATGTGTTGTTTGGTCATTCGTTTGGGAAACTAGTTTAGATGTAAATATTAAATGACAAAAATAATTGAAAATGATAAGTGCTTCCCAATTCCTGTAGAGTATTGCTGTTTATGTTTCCCCTGCTGGGGCTCAATTAGTCATTTGTTATAACACACTGGAGTACAGTATACATGAATGAACACATTTTCACATGTCTGAATGGGTGAAACATTGAATTTGATTGTTGTTTTATATAAAGCAATTGTGTAGAATATGATTTTATTAAAGAATTGGTATGCTGGAACAAGTGTTGTCCTAAATCTACACCTCTATGATACGTAGGAAATTGGAGGGTTAGGCAAATATACATTTTGTAAGTCTGTCTTTATACACATCGCAATGGTTTACAGATGTGTGGGTGCACATTGGCAGATCAGAATTTTCTCTTATTACCTGGTTGGTGGGTTTACCTATGCAGGAACCATGACTAAGAGAGGTCACCCATATACCTACAACCTCTGGCCAACCTTCCTCAACTTCACCACCTTCTAACCCCAGAAAAAAACACATTACTCCAAAATGGAGTTAAATGGCCATAGTGGTCTTTTACTATCAATAACATACACATTTAACACCTTCCCATCGGGCCTATTGCAAAATGATGGCCAGGAGGG